TCACGGTCTCTCCTGCCCGGGCTGGCTTTGAACCGAGATCCTCAGATCTCAGCCTCCTGAGTAGCTAGGATTACAGGCGTGAGCCACCAGCGCCCGGCTGGACTTTTTTTTTTTAAAATGTATCAGTTGTGGAGCTTGAATTCGGGGAATGGGTGCTGTACCTGAGCTTTCACTCAAAGTTAGCACTCTACCCACTTGGAGCCACAGTGCCACTTCTGTTTTTTTTTTTTTTTTTGATGGAGCTAAGAGTCTCACTGACTTTCTTGCTTGGGCTTGCTTCAAATCACCATCCTCAGATCTCAGCCTCCTAAACCTGGCTTATTTGTTGAAATAGGGTTACCCTAACTTTTTCCCTGACCTAGCATCAAATCATGATCCTCTTGACCTTCCCCTTCTGACTTCTGAGTAGCTGGGATTATAGGCATGAGTAGTGTTCCTAGACTTTATTTTGTTGTTGTTGTTATGTATTTCTGATTATAGAGAGACACAGAGCTTAGCATACTTGCTCAGATATTTTTGCTCATGGCTGGCACTTTGCCACTTGAACCACACCTCCAGTTCTGGCTTGTTACTGGTTAGTTAGAGACAAGAGTCTCTCAGATTTATCTGCTGGAGCTGACCAGATCCTCAGATCTCATCCTCTTGAGTAGCTATGATTCAAAGCTATCAGCACTCACCTCTTTTTTTATTTATTTAACTCAATAATTTTTGTGCCAGTCCTGTAGCTTGAACTAAGGCTTTGCACTGTCCCTGAGCTTTTTTGCTCAAGGCTGGTGCTATACCAATTGAGCCACAGCTCTACTTTCAGCTTTTCAGTGGTTATTTGGAGCTAAGTGTCTTATGGATTTTCCTGTTTTGACTGACTTTGAACCTCAATCCTTAGGTCCCAGCCTCCTGAGTAGCTAGGATTACAGGTATGAGCCACCATTTCATGGCTTCTTTTTTTTTTATTTATTTATTTATTATTTTAATTTTTTTGTTGGTCTTGGGGCTTGAACTCTGAGCCTGGGCACTGTCCCTCAGCTCTTCAGCTCAAGGCTAGCACTTTGCCACTTGAGCCATAGTGCTACTTCTGGTTTTCTGGTAGTTTATTGGAGATAAGAGTCTCACCCACTTTGCTGCCCAGGCTGAGTTTGAACCGTGATACTCAGACCTCTCCTGGATAGCTAGGATTACAGGCATGAGCCACCGGCCCCGGCCTCTTTTTTATTTTTGACAGGGTCTCACTATGTAGTCCAAGCTGGCCTCAAACTCTTGACCTTTCTGTCTCAGCCTCCTGAGTGCTGTTGTGTTGGGTTACAGGTTTAAACCATTGCATTCGCTACCCTCAGGACTTTTTTTTTTTTGTAGTGTCAGGTTTGGATGTATTAGGCAAGTGCTCTATCACTGAACTCTATTTCCAGCCAGGAATGCTTTTTTCTTTTCTTTTCTTTCTTTCTTTTTTTTTTTTGCCAGCCCTGGGGCTTGAACTCTGGGCCTGGGCACTGTTCCTGAGCTTCTTTTGCTCAAGGCTAGCTCTCTACTGCTTGAGCCACAACACCACTTCCAAGTTTTTCTGAATATGTAGTACTGAGAAATTGAACTCAGGGCCTCATGCATGCTAGGCAAGCACTCTACCACTGAGCCACCTTCCCAGCCCCAGGAATGCCAGTTTTATATGCTAACAGGACACCTTCATCCCCAAGGCAGAAGAGACCTCCATGTTTCCCTTCACTTTCACTTTTCAGTAACCTGCCTCTCTGGAAGGTATTTGAGCCTCTTTCTCCTTTTCTCTTTTACAAAACTCTTATGTAAAAAAAAAACAAACAAACCAAAAAACCTGTTATGTAGGGGCTGGAAATGTGGCTTAGTGGAAGAGTGCTTGCCTTGCATGCATGAAGTCCTGGGTTTGGTTCCTCTGTACTACATAACACAGAACAAGCCAGAAGTGGTGCTGTGGCTTAAGTGGTAGAGTACTAGCCTTGAGCAAAAGAAGTTCATGGACAGTGCCTAGGCTCTGAGTTCAAGCCCCAGGACTGACAAAAAAGACAAAATAAAGCTCGGTGCCAGTGGCTCATGCCTATAATCCTAATGACCCAGGAGGCTGAGATCTGAGTATCATGGTTCAAAGCCAGCCTGTGCAGCAAAGTCCATGATACTCTTATCTCCAATTAACCACCAGAAAACCAGAAGTGGTACAATGGGCTCAAGTGATAGAATTCTAGTCTTGAGCCGAAGAGCTCAGGGACAGGGTCCAGGCCCAGAGTTCAAGCCCCAAGACCAACAACAACAACAACTAAAAGACAAAAAAAATCAACTCATGTATTCTCTCTTTAGGCCATTTTATTTTTCTCCATCTTGCCCATGGATTCAAATTATGAGTTGAGTCTCAGAATTGATGTCCTACTTCTGAAGTCAGTTTCTGAAGTCAAGATCTCTTGCCACAGTGGTCCACAGCATTCTGTTTTACTATAAAGTAAATAGAATATCCTCCTTGCTGGGAGTTCTTTCAGGCCAGGGCAGAGCCTTCCTCTCTGTGTGTGTGTGTGTATGTGTGTGTGTTTGTGTTCAGGTACTTAGGGCCTTGGCACTGTCGCTTAGTTTTTTGCTCAAGGCTGGCACTCTACCACTTG